GATGGGCAGAAACAAAGGGTACCGTTATGGGTAGCGTTGAGGTTTTACGAAAAATGTTATATTTTAATTTTATCTTTATTGTTAAGAAGGGTAAGGTCAAGGAAATTCAATTGTTTTTCCTTTTCAATTTCGAGAGTAAATTTTAGTTCGTATATATTATTAATTTGTTTCTGAAATAGATTTAAAGTTTCAGAATTACCTTCCCAATTGCAAAACATGTCATCTACATAACGATACCACTTTTTAATGTTGCTGAAGAAAGGGTTGTTATTGTTGATTATGAATTCGTTTCCTATGTGGTTGAGGTAGATGTCAGCAAGAAATCCAGATAATGGCATTCCCATAGGTAATCCTTCGGCTATATTATAGTAGTTGTTATTGAAGGTACAAAGTGTAGATTGTGATGGAAGACTATCCTCCATCTTTTTAATTTCCTTTTCAGGATCGAGGGTTTCCCCCACTTCGTCTAGGGTTTTATTCCTACTGGGCGTTTCCATATCAATCCCACGAGTAGGGTAGAAAGGGTTCATCGAGGCAGTGCTCCCATACCCCGAGAAGCCTATTGAAGCTGAAGGTTGGCAGGTCTCCAGAGTCCGCTTATTAGCAGCCATCATTTCCCAGATAACTAGACCGTCAGGTGACAGCCTAAAGTGCTCTGCATAAGCTGTTCCACATTCACTTTGGGGTTTTTAATGAGGTTGTCTCCTCTTGACCCAGGCAATTAAACCAAGATCCCCCGCATGCGCTGCTCATGGAACAGGTCCACTAACAATATGTCTGCATGGTATAACGGTTTCGACTATATCAGTCGTCCCCGGCCACGTTTTCTTGCGTGCAAGCCCTAAGCCACGCGAAGACAGCCGGGCGGGAGACCTGTTTATCGACTGGCAAGCCTAGATCTGACACTTTTGGTATGGTACAGGGGCACCTTGTGAAGGAGCAGTAAAACTGCAGTGTCGATCCTGATTCAGGTCATAAGACAAGAACCCTGAATACGGCAAAACAAATAGGACAAGCCTGCCTAGGATTCACCGCGCCCTCACCCCCCCCCCTCATCCACCTATGTTCTTGTTAATTTTTTTTTGGGTTACGAAGTCTAGAACCCATCCCTTTTTGCACATGGTTTACACATTCTTTTTCTCTACTTCTGCGTTCTGTTCCAATAGAGCTTTGAAAGTTTTCGTATCGCCATCTCCAATATACTTTTTATATTTCGCACCGTGTAGTTCTTCAGCTCTTTTCTTTTCTAACACGCCTTGACCTTCCATACCTCCAGCAAGAAAAATTCTAAGTTCAGAATTTTTGTTTTTTAAAAACTTTATTTTATTTAAATCTAAGTTTACAAAAGTTGAAGTTTGAAATTAATATTTTATTTTAAAAATTAATTTGTTAAATCTTAAATCTAAGTTTAGAATTTTACGAAGTGCGGCGACGTCGCGAGAGAGTACTGTTGGAAATGCTAATTTAACATTTATTCTTGGAAGGCATCTACAACTCCTTTCGCCAAAGAGAGAAACATAGCCTGGAATTTTCTCAAAATGACCATGTTTGTTTCCCTAGGTTCCGTTTGGGGCTTTCTTCTTTCGGTGGATTAATCTTTTTTTTTCTGTAAATTTTCTTAATTATCAACTCTGCAATTAGAAGTATAATTAAGCAGTATAATACAGGGTGTATCTGAATGACTGCAACAAACTTCAAGGGGTGATTCTTTAGTGAATTTTAAGGGTACTTTGATATATTAACCATGGGCGACTTCGGCTCCCCTAAGGAGCTACACCCCTTCTTTTTCTCAAAAACCATAAACGCTAGGAAAATGAAATTTGGGGAATATGTTTAACTCATAATAGGGCACGTTTTGAGCCTATTTGTACTTTCAACCTACCCTTCTAAACTACTAAACGTAACCACCCTCGTTCAATTTATGCCTAGATTTTTTTTATGAAGATGATAAATACATCGGAAAAATTTCGGTTAGATAGATAAAACTATTCTAAAACTTTTTTGTCTCTCTGATGTTCTTCGAAAATTTAATAATTTCTGAGAAAAAAAATAATTAAGCAAACACTAACTGTTAAGCTGTAGGGTTATTAATCGAAAGTTGAAATGAATTGTTAATGGAAAAATCTTAGTAGGCTTTGCAATCTTTGTCAGAAATATTTTTGACGTTTAAATGTCAGTGGTTTTCTTACTATTATTATTATTTTATTTAAAATTTTGAGCGTAAATGCGATAGAACTTTATTCAAAAATTAATTTGAAAAACAATAATAATAGTAAGAAAAACATTGACATTTAAACGTCAAAAATATTTCTGATTCCGTCAGAAATTCCGTCAAAAAAAAAATTAAACCAAAATTTTCCGCCATTTTTGGAGGGGCGTAGCTCCCCAGGGGGGCCGAAGTCGCCCATGGTTCATATATGAAAGTACCCTTAAAATTCACTAAAGAATCACCCCTTGAAGTTTGTTGCAGTCATTCAGATACACCCTGTATAATGGTCCATATTGTAATTGGCCTCTCGTGTAGATATGGTTCTTGAATTCTTCACATCTTCCGATAGTTTCTCCAATTCACCGATAACGCCTTGAACTTTACCATCTTGGACTTCTTTAAGTTTCTCTATTTCTCCGTTCCAAGGTAGTCTTTGTTCGGGTATGTCGGATATTTTCAGATGCGGTATCTTGATTATTCTTTCAGCGCTAATTTGCAGAAAACATCCAGGTTTTATTTTGATGATGTAGGTACATTCAATATTTCAAATTCTTCTATCTTTCTACAAACCTTCTTTACCTTTTGAGGTGTGGATGTCGTAATAAGCCATCGATCGTCTGTTATTCTTGTAATTGTTGGGGTTGATACATTGTCCATTCTTGTTTTAAAATTTTCATATTGTCCCATAATCAGAATCAGTCGTACTTCGCATGGAGTTTCTTCAAGGCTGATTTGATGACTGGTTTTGTGACATACAAATTCTGACGGTAAAACTTCTCTGCGTGCAGTGTGAGTAGTTATAAACTTTTCATTATTGATTGCTAAATAGGGAGTTTTGGGAGTTATTGAGGCGAAGGTAGACAAGTTGTATCTTTTTGGTGGAAATAGTTGATATAGGGAATAAGGTAACTTTTCAACAATATTTTAGAATCTTTCATAAATGCTTTAAGTGTGATTATTTATAATCGGAACTTATTGGTAATTTGTCATCCGTAAGTTGTTCTTGAATTGAGTTCGTGATGCAATGTATTTTTATCGAGAATAGATGGATGAAATATTTGAGATAAATTTACATTGACATAAATTTTCGAGAGTCCAAAGCGAAATAGGATGCGTTTCTTATTGCGGCTCCTATCTGTAGTATTCTAGACGTGAGGACACTTTGATTTGATTTAAGAATCTTTAGCGAGTTGTTAAATTGTGTCAAGCCTTGATTGATAAAGTAACTTGTTTGTCGACGATGGTTTTAATTTTCTTTTGAGACGATTGGAGTTCCTGTATCGCTTAATCGTAACGAATGGCATCTTCTTCGCCTAGGTTACCTGTGATTGCTTTTATTATACTTCTTGCAATGTTAATTGCACCTCTTTTTGATTTTGGATGATTCTTCGGGAATATATCCTCGACGTGTTTCCTCATAGTCTTGTCATTTGTTTCATTCCTGTTTTCATTATGGATATAAAATTGTACATTTCTCTTTCATAGGATGATTCCGTTTGGTTGATCATTTTTAAACAATTTTGATAGTGTTGTTTGGTTGTCTCCACTTCGTGCAGTAATTGCGCTAGATCGTAGACGGTTGTTAGGCTCCAATAACTATGAACATTTTGAGCTCAGCACAATAATACTGGTAGAAGTCCGGTGTTGTCTTATATGTCGGTTATTGTAACGTCCCACCAGTGGCCAGGGAACATGAATCCGAGGTATCTGTAATAATGGAATGTTTTAGAGTTCTTGTATGATATCGTTTTTCTCCTGATTTAGTTTTTACTATGACAGTCTCGTCGTCATTTATTTGCGTAATTTTATAAGGACCTAAATAGGGGTTTTGAAGTTTATTTCTTTCTGTATTTCTTATGTACACCAATACATTTACTTTGAATGGGTTTCCTTTTCATTTTGCTTATTCACGTATTTTTCTTTGTCTGCTTTATTTTTTTCTTCTATGGTTTTATATAGATGTTTAAGTTGTTCTTTGTGATTTTAAACGTACTTCGCAAAGTAATCTTTCGAATATAGTAAATCCATGGGATCTCTTAGCGATGTGTAACTAAAAACAACTTCTAGCGGAGTGGCTTCGATAGGTTTTGAGATGCTGTCGTTATATGCAATTACATGCTTTATAAGATCGTGTGTTGGCTGATCTTTGTTGGTTTCACGAAGACATCGCACGTGTTCAGTCAACGGATTTAATGGGGTTCCGAAATGGATTGATATTTTGTGTGCTTCTAATAATTGTTTAATAATAATAATAATAATAAAGGTCTTTACCCGCGGGGGAGCTGGACGCGTCCCCAGGTGGCGGATAGGGGAACGCTCGCTTCGGCGAGTATCGGGTTAACCCGACGCGGACCAACCAGCCTGACTTCTATAGTCTCTTTTTTGCCAGGACCAGCACGGCACCGGCTTGTAACGTCTCTTGTTTTTCGTCTTCTTTTTCGTTTTTATGTGATTGGCACGTATTTTGGAAACCCTGGGAGTGCTGACGAAGCCTCCGATGTCTTGAACGGGGGTGGATGAGGCTGATGTGAGCTTGCTCTGCCGAGGGGGCACTGGGTACGTGTCAGAGGCCAGCCACTTCGGGCCCTGATCAGGTAGTGTAGAATGGATGCGGAGGTCGGAATCCGCATTGCCCCGAACGAGTATCGATTCGTCCGTGTTTGTCCGGAATCGATAAAATGAGGGTTGGGCCCTGGGGAACTGGGGTAGGTTTCTTTAACCAAGGGTATACCCGTCCCCAACCATTCTCAGCCCGTTCCTTTCTACACGAAGCGCTGGTGAACCCAACAGAATGGATAATCTAACAAGAAAACCCATTCAAGAGGCGCCCACCTCTAAAAAAACGGGCAACTTGACGAACTCGGAAAAGGAGGTCACTCCCCGGTTCCTTGTCATCAAGGCTTTGTACGGTTTGTCGTTCGACAAACTTAGCCCGTTCGTGTTACAGAAGCAACCGTACGGATTGTTTGGAGAATTTACGTCAATTAAGAAAACCAGGGAAGGCTTGTTGGTTGAAACCGCGTCTGCGGTACAAGCCAAACGAGTTCTAGTCAGTAAGCGAATAGGAAACATAGATGTGGAGGTTAACCCGCATAGAGCCTTAAATACCTCGAAAGGCATTGTGTACGGTCCCGACTTGTTGAATTGCTTCTTGGAAGAAATCCAGGCGGAATTGAAGCCCCAAGGGGTAATTGACGTGAGGAGGATCAAGTCCAAGAGAGAGGGTGTTCTCAGCGACACCCCCAATCACATACTCACGTTCAACCGCCCTATTCTACCGAAAAAGGTGAAAGCGGCGTATTACTCATTGGATGTCAGGCTTTACATACCTGCTCCAATGAGATGTTTTAAATGTCAGCGTTGCGGCCACACATCTCTCCGATGTGAGGCCGAACAAATATGTGTGTATGGGAAGGCTCTCCGCAAGGGGCGACCTTGCGAGGACCCTCTCGTTTGCGTTAATTGCTCGGTCCAGATCCTGTCCCGTCTTCAAAAAAGAAGCGGCGATTCAGGAAATGAAGACCAAGGATAAATTATCCTATCCTGAGGCAAAGCGACGGCTACAACAAACGACGGTAGGCACACTCACTCACGGAGTGTCGTATTCGTCTGCAACCGCTTCCCTGCCCAAGTACGATAGCCTGATCAAAGATTTAATACTCGCTATTGTAGCGGCCATCAAGCCGCTAATTAAATCGGAAGTAAAGGCGAAGGTTCAACCCTCGACCAGCACTTCCGGAGATATTGGCGTATTCAAAACTCCCTTATCGGTAGATCTCACAGACAACGTGGAGACCTCAAGTCAGATTTCTCATACGGAGTCCTCAGGACGGATAGGAAAGGGACGGATAGCTCAGCTTCTCCGTCCCTTTCTGCTTCTGGGCGATTTCAACGCCCACAGTCCCATGTGGGGCTGTAACCGACGAGACGCCCAAGGGAGCAGTATCGAACCCCTCCTGGAGGACGAGGGACTTGTTCTCTTGAATACCGGCGATCCCACACACTTGGCTGCCAGATCGGGCGCTTTAACGGTTGTCGATTTGTCCATCGCTTCTCCGTCGATAGCTTCAAGATTATCCTGTAGCACGGCGGAGCATCTATCTTTCAGCGACCACGTTCCCATAATAGTATCGATTCCTGGTCAAACCGAAAACCACGAAACACAGAGAAAGTGGATTCTCGAGAAGGCGGACTGGACGTGATTCGCGCTGCGGCTCCGGAAACCGACCTTCAACGGTGACGTGGAACATGACGTGGCCGCTTTTACGCGTGCCATTCAAAGGGCTGTAGAGGAAGCGATACCGTGCAGTAGCGGACGTGTGAGGACGGGCTCCGTTCCCTGGTGGAACCCCGAAATCGAAGCAGCCGTTAAAGCAAAGAAAGCCCTGATAGAATTCAAAAAAGCGAGGGCCAAAACGAGGCGTCTCATGCTCGCTGCCAAACCGGACAGTTGGAAAAATTTCTTCTCTTCCCTGACCAGCATAACCTCCCCCGTCGAGGTGTGGAGCAAGGTCGAAGCCATCAAGGGGGCCGGATACTACGGCCCCATATCAGAAATTCTCGAGGGCGATCACTCTCTGACCAACAGAGAGGACATCGTCGAAGCTCTGGGTCGGCACTTTGAGTGTACGACCTCCTCCCAGAATTATGATGACGTTTTCCGGCAAAATAAAACAAATAGAGAGTCGGCCCTGCTAAAGTTCACGAGTGAGGGTGAGTTATCCTATAACTTACCCTTCACGATGACTGAACTTCGAGAGTCCTTGAAGTCTGCGAAATCCTCAGTCGCCGGTCATGACGACGTTCGTTATGAGCTCGTCAAGAACCTTCCCGACCAATGGTTCAAAATACATCTGGAACTGTACAATAACGTGTGGTCCTCCCTGATCGTACCGATCCTGAAACAGGGCAAGGACCCGACGTCGGCGAACAGCTACAGACCGATCAGTCTTACGTGCTGTCTGAGTAAGCTGTTCGAAAAAATGATCAATTTCAGATTAATAATAATAATAATCTTATTATTATGATAATAACCCGATGGCATACATTCGTCAATATAGAATTTACAAGCAAGGCGTAAAATATAATAAAATATAATATATAAAATATTACACGTAACATTTACATAAAAACAAATACAGTCATAGAATCCGTGTCAGAACAGTAGTGGCAGGGAAAAAGTTAATCTGTTCTTATACTAAACACATTCAAAGGCCTGTAAATCATTCGACAATTTTTCAATACAGTTATATGCTCTACGTAATAAAACATCCTTAATCTAGTTACAAAAACTGTAAATGTTAAATTTCTATAACTACCAGGCAGACTATTACAAAATTTTACTCCATAATAATTATAGGCGTTCCTAGATCTGGTCAGTCTCAATGCGTCATGTCGGATGTCACCCCCCCCCCTCCTAGTTTTGTAATTGTGAAAATCACCTTTTTTTTTAGTTAACAATGAAGTAACATTGTAAATTTCAAACATTCAAAGATATATAATGAAGGCAGTGTCAAAATTTTTAAATTGATAAAAGAAGAGCGGCAGTCTTCAGTATAGTTTAATTTGGCGATATTTCTAATGGCTCTTCTTTTTATACTAAATATTCTTTTATTAATCGCGGCGTGTACCCAGGCAAGTAGTCCGCAACCAAGATGACTCTGAAAAAGCGCAAAATAAGCTGTGCGCAATACCTCCGTAGAAGAAAATTCAGAAAGACGTCTTAACAAAAAGGCGAGAGAGGAGCTTAAACGAGAAGCTAAAGCTTCGCCATGAAAACTCCAGGTAAGTTCGGGGTCAACATGCACGCCCAGAAATCTGAAACTATCATCAGAATCCAAACTTTTATCTGTGTGCTTTAGTGAAAAAGTCATTGATACTGTTTTATCATTATTCATCGTTAGCTGATTACCTGTAAACCAATATCTAGCCGAAATGAACACGAACATGTTCAGGACTCGCGCTAAGATTTTTACTCCAGTACTCGCGCGGCGCACTGCGTGCTCCATTTTTCATTTCTCTTTGCCGCCAAGAATTGATACTAAATAATTTTTAGTAATATTATTTTATTTTTAATAACTAATATTAATAATAATTATTATTATAAACTTAAATATCTTAAATATATAAATCTTAATAATAATCCTTTACTCCTACTACTTTACTCATAATGTTATTTTGGGATGTGTATTACTAAACAGAGAACTCATAAATGTTGTTACCACTTATTAGAATAATTCCATTGATTCTTTGATCAATGTAGTTATTTGTTGACTTATTTACTGTGAATCACTGTCCCCCACACCCTTACACTTTTCACATAGATATGTGATGTTTACATGTTTCTTACAAACAAAGTTATTACAAGATCCACATCTTATTGTAGTATTGACGTTCTTTGCACGTCCACATGTCACATATCTACCACATCTCTTGAAAGAAGGCTCCCCGACAACTCTGTCTTCAGGACCTTTGTATTGTTGAAGGAAGACTGAGATATCTGCCGGCAGGGAAGGCACTTTAGCTCTTTCCATGAGATATGGTTTCATAAAGGAAAATGCCAGGTTCTTCAAAAATAACCTCCTCGGTATTTTTTTATTTTCATTGGAAAAATAAATTACTTGGGCATTTATACCGGCTATGTCCAAGAGACTGTAAAATATTACTAAAGGCCACCTCCTTGTGATACGTGCAACAGAATAATAACTACACATTTGGTCTACGGTATCTACACCTCCTTTTGTAGAATTATAATCCAGGATTATTTCTGGCTTCTGTGTTTCTTCATCTATGACACCTTTGTCATGCATGGTAGAAAGCAGCACTACAGCCTTACTTTTCTTTGGTACATACGATACCAAAGTAACATCCTTTTGATATCCGAACAATGAGGAATTGATGGGCCTATTTTTCTGATGCAAAAATTCAGTGGGAATTTCCCGTTTGTTTTTTCTCATTGTTCCGATACATGTTAATTTCTTCTCCAGTAGATACTTTGCCAGGTTATAATTAGTATACCAATTATCGGTAGTGATGTTTCTCTTGGTACCCTCAATGTGATGGACAAGTCTACGAACTACATCTGAAGGTGAGTTGCTTATATCATAGGGTCCCGGTGGCTGTTTACCACAGTAAACTTCATCATTTCCAGTGAAGAATGTTTTAGCATCTGTGAGGGCAAATAGCTTTATCCCATACTTCGCTGGTTTGTTAGGTATGTATTGGATAAAGCTGCAACGACCACGAAAAGCTTGAAGTTTTTCATCTATTGTGACAAACTCACTCAGACTGTAACTACTCTTGCAATTGTCCACAAATCCACCAAGGACCATTCGAATTGCAGCAAGTTTATCGGTAGCTTTTCTTTCGTCTCTCGTTGATTTGTCATCAAATCGAAGGCATGACAATAAAAAGAGGAATCTTTTGTTACTCATTGTTACTCTTGTGATCTGCATCCCTGTGCCATCCTTAGCCCAGAGTTCCCTCACGTTTGTATGATTAGCTTCCTTCGCGCCAATCAAGTAGAGTAAGCCTAACAATGCCATTATTTCATTATGCGATGCTTCCTTTGTATCTCTTGTTCTTTCATATTTTTCAGATTGAGAGTTTATGTAAATGTTAGTATAGTTCACAATACACCTATCCCCCGATTTACACGATAGATACGTTCCTGAGAAAAACGTGTAAATCGAAAATTAAAAATTTTCAAGTCAAAACCGTGTAAATCGAAAAGCTTGCAGAAAATGCATAATTTTGCTATTTAACAGTTGTGATTTTTTTCAATATTTTTAGGTGTACACAGAAATAAAAATAAAATGCATTGACAGGTTAAAATATGTAATATATTTTAAGTCAGCACATAAGCTCGGGATTCCCCGTGAGATGTGTACACAGCGCACGTGTTCAATCACAGTAGCATTTAGTAGAGTGCGATAAAAACAAAAAAAAACTTATTTGGAAAACCGTGTAAAAGCGAAAACGTGTAAAACAAGTACCGTGTAAATCGGGGGATAGGTGTATTGTCAATTATATTGGTGTCAATAATTTTTTCAAAAGCAGACATTTCACTTGTAACACCCTTAGCTTCTCTTTTTGGCCCAGGACGAGTTGTTATGATGTTTTTTCCTTTAGTCTTAGAATTACGGCTAAAACATTTTTTTTCCAGGCACAATCTTTATCTTTTCCGATGAAATAATCATTGTCCAGTAACATAGACTCATCAGAACTTTCATCGCTATCTTCACTCGACCCCGAGTCATAGTTCTGTTCGCTTTCTATGTCATGCTCACTGTAACTAATTTGTTCATCTTCACTTTCAGAACTGTCATCATTATCACACTGATTTTCTTTCTCTAAATCAGAATCATCGTTGAGTAGCCATTTTAGCGGATTTGTCACTCTTCTTGTAGACCTAAGTGAAAAGTATTACATATTTTCTTGGGAGGGATAGATTCATATGATACTAATAAAACTCAGAGAAATTGAGTGTTCAAATGTAAAGCACCAAAGAAACCCCAAATAGAACTTTTGAAG